GGCATGAAGGACCACTGATGACCATCGCTGCTCTGCGCAAGAAGCAAAAATAAATTTATGCCCTTAAGAGCGGCAGGACGATCAAACAAAAAAATGCACAATAATGAACGATAATGTATGAATAACTGCTTGGTCTATTAACAAAAAAATACAGAGGTTCGAATATTTTGTTGCTATTATGACTCCCGTAACTTTTCTCACACTCTCACATCCTAAAAAGTTCAGAATACTTAAAACAAATTCAGACTCATTCTTTGACTAATTAAGAAGACACAAAAAACAGCCGAGTACGCAAAATCCCACAATAGTCAACCGCACTGGTATTACAGATTTAAAATTAGCAGAGGAATAGAAAGCAGAATATTAGCTTAAAAATATAAGTATTACCGTATCGATAGAGAATCACAGAAATATAGCACTTCTTTAGTGGCATAACAAAAATTATACATCGTGCAACTGAGAAAATACAGAAGAAAATGCCTGGTATTTATTTCTTTAAGTTTCCATCAAATCCATAAATTCAGAATTTAGAAAATCGAACAAAATGCAGTGAACACCGGCCATAAAACTCAATAAAGAATACACTTGAAAAGGAATCGAAGTAGTCGGCTTCTTCACAACGTCAGCATATGTCGCAAATATCTGTAGCAATGAACATAGACGAAGATCCATCGGCAGTCACTTAATGTCCTGAGAATTTACGAACAATGGACCTGATGGCACCGAAGAGAAGAAAGCCCGTAAAAACGGAAAATCCGGCAACGTAAGCAGCTCCGATCAGGCCTTCTAAAATGAACAGAATTCGATCACAATCAAAATAATATACTACACTACAAAAGTCATAAGTTACGAGCATATTGAATTTCTTTATGAACTCAATTACAAAAGTCACACAATACGTCTGTACGTCACAACAATCTTCCAGGTCATGTACATTCTCTTTACATGCACTTCAATCCTGCTGCTGAAAAATTTTTTTAAGTATTTGCAGGCTGTTCGAAATGTGTTATCATTGACCACGGTTTAAGTCCGCCTGGAAGGATATACGATAATAAACACCATGGGCGGACTCGGCAACAACTAGACATTGGAATCGCTTTATAAATAAAACAAGCGCGCACATAAACCTTATAACGTCACGGTTGAAATCGAGTCAAAATATTAAGGGAATCGGTTGCAATCCTAGAGACAGTTTGCAATAAATGGAATCGGTAGTTAATCTTGGTACGAGAACGAAAGCCTACGTTGGAATTACGACATTAATGCATGCAATAAAGTGTAAATGTCACTAATGCTAAGATGAACTAGGAAATGTGACCTGATTTAATGCATCACAATATTTACTTCGACAAAGTATAAAATGACCAATAATTTTTGACTGAACTGACGCATATTGGTAAATTGTATCATGCAGTAATACATCATTTACACTTACCTCGTTCCATACGAGCGTTTGCAACCTGTTTAAGCTCCGCTGCTTGCGAATTATTCGGTTCAACTCTCATAATGACTTCGATATATTTCAGCGCTTTGTCATAATTCTAAAATCACTCTATACGACATCAGAGGAGTAAACAAACTACCACCTTCAATTTGATATGACCAATGGCAAGGTAATACAGGTAGGTGCGAATAGCCATATCATCTTCGTCGCGTGACAAAAGCTCTAATAACAAATTTTTTCTGAGTAACATTATCCCGACCCAAAGGTTTTGGAAAATATTGCAGTAATTGCATGAAAATGCAATTAGTTTTAACAAATCAAGCAGGAGGTCTAGCTTGAATCAGTGAAAAACTTATTAATCCGGTTATGAAAAGATATAATACTGCAGTTTTACGGCATATTCAGTACCCTCCTTAAATCAAGACTAGTGTCTATGCCACGAAATAATAATCAAGGTAGAAAGATGCATTTCATAATAACACATAGTGAAACTTTCTTTAGCCATCATGGTAACTGTGAAAAGCTGAAAAGTCATGAACTATCCAACGAGCAGCAGTACCTACGAAATAAGAGATCTATTACGCTAGCACAAGCACAGGCGAAAGAACTAACTGTCACCACTGATACTGATTTAAGGAAAAAATACGATTAATCATAATTTCATCTACCCTGATGAAAGATTGTGACATAATTATGACCTTTATATAAGAATTACAGTCAATAATAAGTATTTAAGTCTGGAAAAAAGTCAAAGCAATTGAAAAAGGCCTCATTTTCAGACAAAACTAGTTTTATAGAAACTGAACCAGAACAGCATTATGTCAGTCTAACGTAAAAAATCTGATTTAAACTGAATTCAAAACCCTGAAAAAAGAGCATAGTATTCTAAACAATTCTAAAGCGCAGGAGAATCGTATAAAAATACTTCTAACTTTACGTATTCAACTAGTTTCTACATATCTGGCATCAACAATAACAACGTAAATTAAAATAGAAAGTGACAGCATCGGTAAGGAAACTTTCTTATAGCATGGTAGAACATCAAGATCTAACTAGAAAGATTTCAATGAAATCTGCTTTCCGGATAATCACAGTACTGCAAGCAATAAAGGTCACAATACGAGGAGGCAAAGTGAGATGCTTACAGAACTATCAATTTAAAGTTACTACACAATAAAATGAATATATCATGATGATGATCTCTCACGCACAAACAGGAAAGACTTGCTTCCCCCTATTTGAATACTTTAATAGGTCTTGATATTCGTTTCTGAAGGCAGTGCTGTTCAACTTTTCATCTCACCTGCTATTCTATGACCTTATAAATACGCGTTAGCCAAAAATGCGTATTCAGACTTTGGATCAGAGATAGGCATGGGCTTAAAACATGTTCGGAGTCAGAGGTGATTCCTAAACATTGGATGGCATGATTTTCTTGGCACTTAACAACTGTCCATCGTCATCATCAATCACAGAAGAAATGCACTGTTTGCCCGACTGGCTAAGGTATAAGCAGAGGCGGTATGTTCTCTTCGTGCCACCCTCCTCGAAAACTGCCCTCCAAGTTGTTCATTATCTGCTAACACTGGAGATTAGTTCAGCACCACCCATAAAACTAGAAATCCAAAGTTCTGCTATACTTGAAGGCAAAGTAGGCCTAATAATCGATGAATTTCCTCCGGAGCTGAGTATGAAGGAACGGTAACGACAGAAAAGCTCAACGCCATATTTCATCAAATGTGAACCGCCAAATATTTTTTTTAGAAAAGAGAATGGGGAGTAATTGCCCCTATATTTAAACAGAGTGGGGCGACCGAATGTTTTAATTATCGTGGTATCACACTGCTGTAAACTCGATGAAAATTCTCATCTTGGAATATCCTAAAAAGGAAAAAAGATCTCACCAAAATCAAACAGACTTCCGGATATGGTACTCCTGCCTCGACCAATTTTTTACTCTTGTAGATCAATGAGCAATATCGACAATTCCAACTGTTGGGTTAGCCAGTTTCTCCTATGTAAAGGCTGCATTAGACTCAATATATCGAGCAATGTGGAAATTTTTAAAATGCAATTGGATACCCTAGCATATCGTTCCCACTCTAGAAGGGATGCATGCAGGAAGCGTGCCTGGTGTCAAAGTTGAAGAAGGGCATTATGAGTTCCCAATTGTTCCTGTGGTTCCCTATTAAATGTGGAGTTCGCCAGAGAGATGTGCATTCACAACTGTTATCCAACACTGTTCTCAACTTTTTTTTTGCGAAACAGCGCCGATCCTGGAAAGGATGAATGTCTCATTTTTGAGAAAAGGCGAAGTCCCAGACATACAGCTAGAAAACTTGCTGACTAAAAGAATGCGGATAATATCATCATGATGAGTCGTCCCAGAAGAGGGCTCTGTCATTTGGCGGCTGTCGTATACAACACAGCTGCAAAACCGGCCCTTCCTTAACGCCCGGAAGCCAAAAAGTTACGAAGAACCTATTGGCTAAAGGTTAGCTACAAGTGGAACAAAGAAGAGAAACGCTTAAGAATGCCGACAAATTAAAGAATCTCATCAACATGATCTTTAACAATGGCAACATCAAGACAGAATTAAATCAGAAAATCGCCCTAGCCTCAAATGCAATGGAAACCTCTCCAATATTTAGGCTTAGAAAGGAGTTACGCTTCCCACGAAAATTCGCTTGTAGCTTGCCTGTCAGGTCAGTGTTTCTGTACGGCACGGAGAAGTTTTGCTCTAAAGAATAAGCAAAAACGACGGTTGAACTGATGACAACAGCGTTGGCTTAGACGCATAATAAGGGTGACATAGCCGAACACGGAATAATTCAGTTATTTTCCAAGACCGATGACCTTGGAAAATGTGGAAACAAAAGAGTTTAGCACTGCTAAGCAAAGTGTTTTAGCATACACTGTTTACTCCAGTCAATCAGATTCTCTCGAGGAAGCCGATACACAGCAGACGTCGACAAGGAGG